TTCACTCCAATTTGGTTGTTTTCCAAATATTCCATCAATTAAATTTGGATTTTTGGTCTTGTCCTTTCTCATACCACTTCCAGCACTTCTTTTACATTTCCTCTAGAGGGAGCATGCACCAGCTGAATAAAACCCAACTGCAGAAATGAATATGCAGATAAGAAGATACTGAAAGAGTAAAAGTATATTTACTCACCGCATCCCTTCTCATCACTGTTGTCAGAGCAGTCGTCATTCCTGTCGCATATCTGGCTTAGGGGGATACAGTGGCCATTATCACATCTGAACTCTGCAGGAGGGCAGGTCGGTGCCGGTGTATGGCACATGTGCTCTAGCTCGTCAGACTCGTCACCGCAGTCATTGTCCCCATCGCAGACGAAGATGTGGGGCACGCAGCGGCCGTTGTGGCAGGTGAACTGGTGCTGCTGGCAGGGCGGGTGAGTGCAGCTCTGTTCGTCGCTGCTGTCTCCGCAGTCATTTCGTCGATCACACCTGAGTTGAAAAATAAAACAGGCCAGACAAAAACATGTCTTTAAGTTTTCAGAAACAAATGTGACAGATTTCATTCATGGTATTTTCTCATTTGTTTTTTTTATAACCTGTAGGAACTCCGTATGCAGAGGCCATTGCTACAGGTGAACTCATTGATGCCACAGGATCTGCGTGAGCAGTTTTGATGCTCATCTAATGCATCTGCACAGTCTGCGTCTCCGTCACACAACCAGTCACGTGGGATACATTTCCGCTGAGGAGGTTGGTTGTTCACACAGGTGAACTCTGAACTTGAACATGTGCGATTGGCTGAAAAAAAGAATACACAAACAAAATTAGGGATTAAGGATAACGATGACCAAATGTCAACTTGCATTTTTGGAGAGCTAAACATTCCAATCTGTATTTTATAACACCCAGTCACGACCTCAACTTTTTTATCCATCTAGAGCGATTGATTCACATTGTTTGAAGGAAGTCTCCTACAGGGGCTCAGGCAGTGCTGAACACTTTAGCTTCAGGCATCTTATTGTTAGAGCACACACTGGTGAGACATAAGAGTCCTGATCCTCCCTGAGCCAGGAAGCCAGAGAAAGGAGACAAAAGTAACGAGTGAGGCAGGAGAAATCAGGAATGTCAGCTTCTTGAGCTGGAGACCTTCTACAGGAAACTAAAGATGCTTGACACTGACTGCCAGCGTCTCCCCCATAACACTTCCCCAGTGGTGGGCATCCTGATCCATCCATCCAGTCCTGAGTAACGACAGGATGAAGGAAGCAGGAGGGGGTAAAGTGGAAAAGTGGTAGGAGGAGAGGAAGAGGGAGGAGATGAAGAACTGGGAAGATGCAGAGAGACGTTTAAAAAAAACAAATGAGAGAGGAAAAGGAAAAGATACAAAAGAAGAGGTAATGAAAGGATGCATACCACAATTATGTCTCTCATCTTCATCGCTCATGTCACCACAGTCATTGTCCCCGTCACAGATCCAGGATGAGGCAATACACCTGCCATCATCACAGCGGAATTGGTCTGTGTTGCAGGTTCTGTCCAATGTGGCTGCAGAGACAAATCATATAACATTAAACTGTGCATAGTGCAGCAAAACAAATACAGTGCTGTGACTGTATAATGTATCTTAACTGATTTATATCCAATATAAACGTTAATCCTTTGCGGTAACATTTGTAGTTACTAATTATCTTGGGTACTTCCCCCCACAACACTGCCTTTTCAAAATAGTCATTGCAGCTCCACATTCCCATGCATGGTGAGCTATCTAAACAAAAGCCAAAGTGAGGCTCTGTAACCCCTGGTGGACAAAGGGAGGGGGAGGTGTTGTTTGTCAGCGGACACTAAGGGGCGTCACCACAGAGGAATGCCGCACACAATAGGAGGCCTGGCTGACCACATCGTCAACAAAGAAATACACCAGCGACTCGCACTCTCCGCCACATCACTCACAGCACTCTCTCACACCAGCACACAGATGAAGATTGGCGGACAGACACCAACAGACAATAACCTTGCAGCTGATAATGGGGCAGGGGCAGACACACAAAAGCACACAGGCCCGTTGTTGCGGTTGAGACGAGTCACTCACTGCAGGAGAGAGGCTCATCAGAGCCGTCGGCACAGTCCGCCCCTCCATCACAGTGCCAGTGGGCGGGGATGCAGCGACCGCTGGAGCAACGGAACTCACTCTGGGAACATGTGGATGTTGCTACATAGAGAATAAAATGTAACAAAGTCACTTGAAGACAAAGACTGATCTGTTCTTTGCTCTCTTATATCCTGTTTCTCATAACTTCAGGTTGATTAAAATCCTGTTTTACACAGATTGAGTGGATTAGAAATTTGCAACGTATCATAGTCTAATTTCACACATGATTTTCTGTAAAATGTCGGGGTGCTATTCCAATTGTAAAAGGTTGTATGATCAATGCTATTTCAAAATGACTTTTTGCACTGTTGATTGTTTTCTGCTATCTTAATAAGCCATTACTTACTACTTACCTAGGAGGTTATGTTTTCACTTGTGTTTGTTTGGTTGTTAGCAGGATTACGCAAAAACTACTACTACCAATTTCATGGCGCATGACCCAAGGAAGAGCTCATATAAGTTTGGTCTGGATCCAGGTCAGGAGCGGATTCTGGAAATTGTTTTCATTTACTTTAACATTGCAAAATAAGGTGTTTAACAAAATTTTCATTGACTTCTCAGAGAATAGTCAATGGATATTATAGGAGAATGATGCACCTTGGTGGAGTAATACAGTCTACTGAGTGTCTCTAGTTACACACTTGCTGTGAAAAAAACCCTTTTCAGACTATAATTAAATTAAAAGGACAAATGGAAAACACAATGTTGTATTGGTCTTTTCCTATGAGTTGTAACTGAACTCACCACAATGTGTAGGGCTCTCATCACTCATATCCCCACAGTCGTTGTCTCCATCACACAGGTATGATCGTGGGATGCAGATGTTAGTAGACTGACATTTTGTGTGTTCTGGTTGGCAGGTTCTCTCCGCTGAGATAATCATAAATTAGCAGAAATTTACTCGAAGCAATGACTACTTCAATTTCCCGAAAGTGTACGCCTGATTCATTTTCGAGACTAACTCAAATACTCACGGCAGTTTTGTTCATCAGAGGTGCCGTTGTCGTAACAGTTGTTGATGCCATTGCAGACATAGTCCTTTGCGATGCAGCGGCCATTGTTGCACGCGAACTCCGTGTTGGGGTCACAAGGTTGGAAAAGACAGCCCACTTCGTCACTGTTGTCTCCACAGTCGTCATAGTGGTCACAGCGGTAGTGGTAGGGCACACAGCGCCCATTGCCACAGGTAAACACAGTGGGCTCACATGTGTGGAAGGCTGCCAATCGGAATCATGGAAAGGTTAGAGCTCGGGGTCAGGGGACAGAGGGGTGATACACAAACACACACACACACACACAAACACACACACACCCACAAACTCAGCAGATCCTAATTTTACCTGACAATGCAATAAAGGACGACAGCATCTGTGGGACTGCATGCAAAGATAAGCAGATCGATTCAGGTGTTAGTGTAGAAGGAGAATGTTAAAGGAAATGGAATCATCAAAGTGAAAGCATACACACCAACATAGTTGAACTGAGGTTTAGGTCCTATGAAAATTTGTGAAGAGGAAAAAAAGTGTTAGTGAAGATTTAAAGGTACAGTGTGTACAATTTTGTGATATCTAGTGTTGAAATTGCATGTTGCAGCTGAACACCCCTCACCTCACCCTCTCCTTCCAAACATGAAAAAGAACCTGTGGTAGCTTCAGTTGTCATAAAAACTCAAAAGGTGTTTAGTTTGTTCAGTCTGGACTAATGTAAAAAAGGTGGCGGCCTCTGTAGAGAGGGTCCCCTCGATGTAAATATAAAGTATTTGAATATAAAGGGCCTTTTCTGGAGTAAAGAAAACTACAATTCATACAATTTAGATGAAACGAACTAGTGAAATCATCATGAGGATTATTCTAAATTAAATATCTGCCAATAGATTCCTTTCACGTAAATCTTACACACTGGACCTTTAATAGAAAAGAGAGTAAAGAAAAGAGAATTAAATTCTCTATGATAACTTTTAGAAAAGAATCAGCTGTGAAATCTTTTATTAATTCAATAAAAAAGGAGGAAGAAACACAAGTAAGCAACACAGTGAGTTAAAACTCCTTGTATTAAAGAACACCTTACCACAGACTCTCTCTAACTCATCGCTGCCATCTCCACAGTCGTTGTCATTGTCACATTTCCACTGGGCATAAATACAGCGGCCATTGTTGCAGGTAAACTGTCCTGGCTGGCACCGAGTCCCGTTATCAGGGATACAGCGCTTGTCGTCGGCCAGGTACCAGCGACCCTCTGATGGACACTGACACTCAGCTCCGTTAGGTCCTATAAAAGATCAAATTGGGATTTTCAATTAATGGGATAAAAGATGTTGCGATGGTATTGTTGAACTAATTGTACCTGGTGTACAGATATGGCTGCAGCCTCCGTTAAACTGCTGGCAGGGGCTGTCGCACTGCTGCTGCTTCCTGCTGGCTACAATGTGGATGTCCATTGGTCGAGATGGAAGGCTCTGAATCATGACCCGCTGACCAGAACCGTCGTGCTTGTTGGCCCGATAGATGCTGCGTGTGTTCCAGTCAGTCCAGTAGATGAATTGGCCAAACATGGCCATAGCAAAGGGGTAGATGGCGGTGCTGACGATGACCTCCCGATTGGACCCCGTGAGAGAGGAACGCTCAATCTTCTGTCTGGCAGAGGAAAATAATAACAGTGGTAGATTGAGGGTAATATGATAGACAAATCTGGGTCCATATTTCAATAGTGGAAATTTGTTTTTCTTACAAGCTGGCATCCGCCCAATACAGCCTCTCTTCTTCATAGTCCAGGGTGAGTCCATTAGGCCACACAAGACTACTGCTCACAACCTCTGTTCTGAAGTTTCCACCTAAAGTGGCACGCTCAATCTTTGCATGGGTTCCCCAGTCTGTCCAATACATGTATCTGTGGAACAAGGAAGCATTTTTTTCTTTTTTGTGCCTGTCTCTTGTCTACATGCAACAAAGTCATGCACCAAATGGATCTGTACTGAGGGTGGTGCACTTTATGGTTGCACTTCATGCCACCCCACTTTTTTTCACTTCTAAATCCCAGTTCAACCTAGTGAATGAGTGTGTCTTACCCCCTACAAGGATCCAACATGATGGCTCTTGGTCGAGACACATGGGCAATAACAGTCCTCTGAGAGCCGTTCACAGACATGGAGCTGATGCTCTGGTTAACATAATCACTGTAGTAAATTCTTCTGTTTATCCAGTCAAAAGCAATGCCATCAGGTGCACCAAGATCTGTCAAAATACACAGAACAACATTATTTCAATCTCTGGTATTAATCTCTACATCCATACAAAGCTACCAAAAGTAATAGGATGAGTACTACCTGACGCCACCACTACAGGGGCTGAGGTGGGAGAGGACAGGCTGATATAGCTGATCTTGCTTGCTCCTGCGCCTGAGCTCTGTGTGAAGTAGACCCTGCTGTCTGAGAGGTCAAAATCCAGCGCCACGGAGGTGCGAGGAACGTTGACCACAGGGAAGGGCAAGGAATGGTCTTCAGGATCAAGGCGCAGGCTGCGCACAGTGCTCTCAGTTGTGTAGATGAGATAATCGTCCCTTGACACCACGCAGCTCTCGTTATCTGCTGCAAGATTCCCAAAAGCGCAGCCGCATTTCTTGTATTGGTTGCCCATGCTATAATCCGGCAGGGCGAAGCAGAAGTGGGCACAGCCTCCATTGGCCTCAATGCAGGGGTTGTGGTTAAGCTCCTGAGGAGTGATTGGCTGAATACGCTGGTCAAAGATGGAAACGTCTCTCAGCATGTTGATGTTGTCTCTAATCACAGCAGGCTGCTCTGTGCTACCGGGCTCTTTGCTCGCTTGAAACACCTTCTTCAGGTTTCTGTCCACCCAAATGATGCTGTTCTCAAACACTGTGATCCCATAAGGAGTCGGATAGCGGCTGCCATACCTCACAATCTCTGTCTCCCCTCCTTGATTGTTTACTCGAGCAATCATATCCAGGGAGTCATCCACCCAGTAGACATAGCCAGTTTGCCCATCCAGAGCGAGACCTCGTGGAGTGAGTATGCCTGAGGAAACTAAAATTGTGCGATTGGTCCCATCCAAGAATGCTCGCTCAATTTTGGGGTTCTGGCCATAATCAGCCCAGAACAAGTATCTGTTTCTGGGATCCACGATGATATGGCGTGGCATGTCCACCTGGGTCTTCAGGAGCACCCTGCGGAAAGTGGTGTTCAGGCGGAGCACCTCCACATACGTCTCGGTCAGGAAAGCATTGGTGAAATACAAGTTCCCTGAAAACAGAAAGTAGCATCATATATTTCATATCATCATAAGAAGATATCAAATGTAAACTATTAAGGTCACAATTAAAGTAGATGTCTGACTTTATTATTACGATTGTGATATCATTACATGATATATTTTCTGTTATGCCTTTAATCACAGTGATGCAATAATAAATCTTTCTGCCGGTAGATGTCTCTGTTTTTTCTCAGCCAGCTATTTAAATCTTCTCCCCTGTCACAAGTGTGGGGCTGATCTCCCTGCACCATGAGTCAGACGCTGTAATAAGCTTCTTAACTTTGACTGTGACCAGGTAGTCTTCTGCGTGTGACCCCAATCACAGCACGAGTTCATACTGATCCAACTTTCTTTTAGTTTTCTCGTTTACATCAACAGCATGATTTTACATACATAAGATAAAAATCTTGTATAGATTTAGTTCAGTAATATGTCAACCTGTTTTGTAATGAACAAGTTATGACTCAACACAAACAAATCAGACCATTATCCACTGCTGAAGCTAGAGGGGAGACTAACATCTGTCTAAAATGTTTACAACAGGGTTTTTCAAAGTCAGAGGGCTTCTGTTGGCCTCCCCTCAGATGCCCCCTCAGTTTCACTTAATTTCTGGAAGCCTATGGGATCATGATTAAGTTATTTGATCCCATAGGCCAACAAAAACAGTCTATCCTAAGCATTTATTAGTTTTTGACTCATGGAAAGTGAGAAAAGTGTAAATTCCCACAAACTACTGATTTTCTGAACTATCTCTATAACCAAATCTTTTGATAACTAGTGTGATTACTGATGTAATATTGTTTTCACTTCCATTCACTGAGTTCCTCCGCTCTACAATATGAACATAAGATGGTGGTGATCCTAATCTCCTGTGACCAAGATCCTCTTTGGCCTGCATCTAAACTGTTACCTCAGTGTTGTAGAAATACTTCACATGGATTAAAATATCTGTCTTACATAAAATTAGAGATGTAGCTTTAATGTCACTGAATGAATAAATGTCTGAGATCTAAAACTGGCAGTGTTGTTTGCTGCAGTGACGTAATCACAATTTGTGGTTAAACAAGAAATTGAGTTGAGCACATTTACAAGCTGACACAACAGCGTACCTGCAGCCCAGTCGACAGCAATGCCTCGTATGCCGTTACGTCCTATTCCAGATGTCACTATGCTACGTAATCCTGAGCCATCTGGCTTGATCCGTCTGACCCCGTTCTGTATCGCCACAGTGCTGCTGAAGTCACACCAGTAGATGAAACCAGAAGCCATGTGTACGTCAATATGTAAAGCATTACGGCCTGAAAGAGGAAAACCAAGTCATTAGAGGCCATTATCATTACTTCGAATACAACAACATATACATTTTATACTCAGTGAGTCCATCACTTAAATTATAATATTTTGTATATAATAATCAGATTTAACAATGTAAATAATATATGAGAATCACTGACCTCTCCCAGCCACCGGCACCATGGCCTCAGAGTGATCTGCCCCCTCCAGACTGAAGCCTTTGATTGCAGACAGAGTGGATATGATGACATAGGACTGGTAGGGGGTGCAGGTCATGTTGTCAGCACCAAGTTTAAAACCTGTGGCGCACGCACAAGTAAACAGACCCTGTGGCCGTGGCAAGCACAGTTGCTCACACACGCCCACATTGTTGGTGCAGCCGTTGGATGAGCCTGCAGAAGCTGAGAGAAAACAGTGTGAGAAACAGATGAAAAAGCAACAATGAGGGACAACTGTGTATTTGTCTCTTACTGATGATGTCTCATTGTGTTACTCACCGTCTCTGTAATGCACTTTCAGAACTCTGAGGCCAGAAACGTTGTCACGCAGCACAACTTTGTTGGCACCGGTGGACTTGTCCACACGCTCTATGACCTCAAAGTCGCGATCAGTGAAGTAGAGGTAGTTTTCATAGACCGCAACACCCCAGGGGTGAGACAGGCCTGTCACTATGGTGATACGGTTAGTCCCGTCTGGATCACCGCGCTCAATCTGTTGAGATGCCAGACAGGAAGTCAACAACAGCAATGGTACTTTATCATCAACAAACTTCAAGGTTAATATAATTTCACATTTGTGACAACTCTACAGAACGAACAGAAGACAAAGACCCACCATGCCAGTGCTTGTGACACCCCAGTACAGCTTGTTCTCTTGGATGTCAACAGTGAGGAACTCAACGTGATCTAAGTTGTTGGTGAAAAGGACGACAGGGTTTTGACCATCCATGTCTGCTGATGCCACCTTGGCAGAAATTCCACTCTCTGTCCCCATATCTGTCCAGTACAGTTTGCTGAAAGTACAAAAGTAGATAAGTGTTCATGTTTAAGGAATTTGCAATGTTGTCATTGATCTCCTGTAAATACCTACTACATTTTAATATGTCTTGTAATTATTTAATTTATAGTCAAATAAGTTGTAAGTTGTCTATTGGGTGAATAAAAAAATGAACAATAAAAATACACTTTCAACGATTATGCAGTGATATAAAAAGTTTTTGGTAAGGCAGAGAATTTCCTCATGACGTCATGGATTGCAAGTCATGACAACTTTATCATGGACCAGTAGCTGAAGCATCAAATATAATGTGAGATAATAGTGGGGGGGTGGTTTGAGAATGCTTTTCTTGTTTCTTGACCGCACTCTATTGTATGTCACTGGGGTCTGAGAGAGCAGCGTAGTATTCAGTAACACTGGTTAAGTTCTCTCCTGAGACAGAGCAGATGGCGATGAGGAGGCTGTTAGAGCTCAGTAGCTGTGGGGATGAGAGGCTGTGCCAGGACTGTGTTAAATGGGGCTTACCCACGTGCTGGATCCACGGCGATGCCAATAGGAATTCCAGCGCCAGTTGGAGAGCCGTTATTTGTGATTAGAGTTTTCCTGTACTGCCACTCCCCTCTCAACTTCAAAACCTGTACAAGCACATACACAAACAGATGCCTTTACTGTCCTGTGTTGCTGTGTTGTAACACGGCCTTAATCCCTGAATTTTGTTATAACAAGAGGAATTACCAAAAATGTACAGCCAGTAAACCTGGACAATACAACAAGGCAAAGTAATATTTATCTCACCTCAATAGACTGTGTAGCTGGGTTGGTGTAGTACAGGTTCTCTGATAACCAGTCCAAGGCCAGGCCGACAGGTGAGCCCAGGATGGCTGCAGGGGCAAACTCTGTCCTGTTAGTACCATCTGATTTTACCCTGTGGATCTCACCCTGGTGGAGAAAGGACAAATTATTAACCTCTACCCCTGTTGAATGAGATGTGCAGAAAGTTTTCTGGCATGTTTTAGTTTAGTTTACTTTTTAAAAGGTTAACCCTAGTTGTCCTTAGAGGATGAGTTCTGAACTGAACTGTAACATGCACAGTTACATCAGAGGTATATTATGTGTCTTGTAGATTTAATAGCACTACTACGTCTCTGACCAACACATAAAATCTCTGTCCACCACAGCATGTACCGAGAACGACAGAACTAAGCTATTTTCAGATAGGCACTCCAAAAAATGTGGAAAAACTGGTTATTTTCCGTAGTTTGCCTTTTACATGGGAAGAACGCAGGTCAGCGCCTGGACTGAGCATACAGGAGGCAGGACATGAAGTGTTTTGTTTACGTCACATAGACACCAGCCCCAGCCCTTACCACCGAAAGCTCTTGAATCTTGTTGTCTTTCCAAAATTAGTTCTTTGTCCTCATCTTCTATGGGTATTGCTCCTCTTTTTTATCCTGAGATATTTGCATTCTTTTTGTTTCTGGAGTTCAGTGCGTGTCTGTCTTTGGACCGTAACTTACCGGGTGCTCCACCCAGTAGATGGTCTGTTCACTGTCGTCAAAGTCCACATCATAGCCATTCTGAAGCCCAGCTACAGGGACCATCGCGTCATTGCTCTTGTCATCTGGGTTCAAGGAAATTCCATAGATGATGCTGTCTCTCACAACCACCAGGAAGGGATCCTCAACTAAAGGTGAAAAAGAGAAAACTCAATAAACTGATTAGAATAACAAACTCTTTTCCCTCCAGTTAAACATAAACAAACATAAAAAAAAGCTATTTATTTTTCAAAGACTGTGAATTCAGTCCTTTTAAAATGAAAATTATGGATTTATTCTGAGCTAGTTAAGCATTTTTAATGGACTTGGACTCAACCCTTGTAATTCAATACTATTTAAGTGGCTTTCGGTTTTTTGATATCTGGTGCAAAATAAGACTACCAATCTAACATTCCTTTATCTATAAAGAGGATTGACTGGTGAAAAGTTGGTCCTACAATCTGATTTGCTTTGTCATCAGAGATTAGAATCGATGAATGGCTGCAGGGCATTTTCATTCTTGGATAATCGTTGGCCTCAGGGGGAGACTGTCTTCTGCTTTGCTTGAATGGGCTGAAACCTGAGACGAGTTAAGCTGTTGACCCAAGGGGGACTCGTTGGGCTTTGAATTAAAGCTCCCTTGTCTTCTCGAGACCTTGAAAGTCACGCTTATATGATTCTTAATATTTATGACTGGAACAGCAGTTTACACAAAAATCCAAATGGGAGACTGTTGACAAGTACCTGGACACAACTTGAGTGTTTTCAAAGATCTCCCTTCTTACCTACACTGATATGGCGGCAAATAAAGCATTCAACGATAATAATTGTTGTAATAACCAGTGTGCTCTTTTACAACAATAAGAGCAATACCTAATGACTGCTTATCACCAGGATCTGACCTGACTTCCTTTTTCATCAAAATGAGTGATGAGTGTTTTCCTCCATTTGGCAGGATGCATACCTCTGGTGCAGGTGATTTGGTCTGCTGCCAGTGTCCAGCCTGAGGGGCAGGCGCACGAGTAATACCTCGGCCCCACCGCAGAGAGCAAGCAGATGTGAGTGCAGGGGCTCCTTAGACAGAGATTTTCACCTAAACATTGTCAAACCACACAGACACACACCAAATTACATGATGCATACCCACAAACAGTATGATAGAGGTTCTATCTCCCTGCTTATTGGCTCCATTATCAACCAAATCTATTCTGGTGGCCAACACAATGGTCAGAGATTGGTTTATGTAATTATCTTCACAATACCTGCTGGCTGCCTGGCTGGGTGTACTGCCACCAGACCCATTGGCTGAGGGAGGTTGAACAGCATCACTGTTTGGTTCTCCCCATGCCACTTATGGGCTCGCATCACACGATTGATATATCTGTCGGTCCAATACACAAAATCCTCAAAAATGGTAATTGCGTGGGGATGTTGCAGTACCTTTTCATAGAGAGTAGCAAAAGAAAAACAAGTGCATCTTACACATACTATTCAAAATAAAATTGTACTCTGCTTACTGTAAGATTATTAACATAAATAAGATTTCTTGTCAGAATAAAAACTGCTTTCTCATACACTCACCAGGTCACTGGCAAGAACTTGCTTCCTGTTGTTGCCGTTATAATCGCAGTAGTCAATGAAATCCAAGTAGGCGTCAGCAAAGTATAACAGGTTGTTTGGATAGTCTATGGTTAGACCATTGGGCCAGTACAGTTTCTTGCTTATGATAACGGTCCTCAATTTTCCATCCATGCTGGCCCTTTCAATGCGGGGGTTCCTCCCCCAGTCAGTCCAGAACATCAGGTGAGAACTGAAAATCAAATGCTCCACTTTTAAAACCAACTGCTTTTCACTATTGAAGGCTGTTTCATACTTAATACTCCAAGACACAGATTTCTCTGAGCGTCACTGACCTGTCCCTTGGGTCCAGCACCAGGCCCCGAGGATTAGTGACGTTTTCGCTAATTAATACAGTCCGATGGGTGCCATCCAGCTTAGAAACTTCAATTGTCTCCAAGACATAGTCAGTCCAGTAAAGGTTCCTGCCCACCCAGTCTACAGCAAGGCTCTCTGTCACAGTCACTCCACTGTCAAATATCTGTACAAAAGAGACTCAATCTTAGTTACAGATGATTTACTGGTGATGCTGACGGAATGTACATAACATAAATTCTCAAAATAAATGGAACAAATAAATCTTACCACAGTTCTGTCACTGCCATCTGTGTGAGCACTCCAGATTCTGTCCTGGCTGGTATCAGACCAGTAAACACGGTCCTCAACCGAGTCAAAGTCTAGGGCCACAATGTTGCGTCCATCTCTAACCAGTGAGCGGACGACGTTGGGCTGAGTGGTTATGTCATCTTGAATGATCTGATTTCGACTGGCCACGAGAAGGAAGGCCTGACGGGAATCTGTAAACAGACGTCAAATCTCTGTTACATATTTTTCATGTCCATCTTCAAGCTAATAAGAGCACTTATCAGCTTTTGCATGTCTACTAAAACTATACAACAGGACTGTTAAATGGGATCCTACTCAAATGGCAGTCCTAAGGGAATGCACTTTTGTCCAAATAATGACCTATTGTATTGCATAGCCTTTCAGAGGGTTATCTGTGTGGAAGAGGAGCTCATGTCAGGCACACTCCCTATAAACAGCCCTTTGTTGGTGATTATGTTCTAATTATACCAGTGATGGCCAGTGAGTGACATATGTTATTTGTGTTATCTAAGAAATCAGAGCAGCATAGAGAGACAAGGGGGAGTGTCAGTCTAGCAGTCTGCTGGCCAAGTCCCCCCGACCTTATAATAGTTCATTCCTGCCCAGCAGCCAGCACAGTGGAGAAAACGGAGACATGTGCTGAATAGGAATCTCATGCTGACATCCAAATTACTGTAGGACTAATAATATGTCTATTTTGCCCTAATTAACAGCATTAGAAAATAACAGATTTATAACTACCAGGGGACCATGTTCCATAAACAAAAGGTTTAAGAAACACTCCTTCCTTACCTGAGGCCTTGCAGGTTCGTTGGTCTGCTTCTAGAGTATAACCGTCCTGGCAGTGGCAGCGGAAAGAACCTCTCTCATTAAAGCAGTGCTGGCTACAAAGTCCAGGGGGATTACACTCATCTATATCCTGACAGGTTTTAGAGTCATTGCTCAGTTGATAACCCACAGGGCACGTGCACTGGGCCCCAAATGGCCCTTGGATACAACCGTGGGTGCAGCCAGCATTGTTGTCAGAACAGCTTTCCTGATCTACGTTGAAAGCAGGGGAAGCATAAGTTAGGACTGAAAAATCTTAATTACAAAATAAACTAAGGAAATGATGACTCATGCAACAACAAAAAAATCCATCGAAGGATTTCATTAATATGTACACTGCACTCTATGATAATAAACAACGATAATAACGAACGATAATAAAAAAAAAACACTAACTACTGTCATTCAGTGTGCTGAGAACTGCAAAACACTACACAACACACATTTGATCATGCTTTGAAACAATCTGAGACTATTTACTATAGATATTGTTTATGTTGAAAGTTGAAAGCGATCAGCAGAATTAATACCAATGATTGAGAGTATGTTCCTACCTGGCAAAGCCTCATCTGAAAGTTGCGAGAAAGGCAAGAAAGGAAAATCACACATCATTTTCACTTTAATACAGGTCAAATCACACACATGCATGATTGTAAAATAAGAATCCAAAGACAAACAGATGACATTCAACACAGAATTTGAAATGAAGCACAAATGAAGAAACACAAAATGCGGCATTAAACAAAAGCAGTTGTGAGTCTGATTCTGTTTGTCATGTGCTGTGAAAATGTAATTGAGTTTGAGGAGACCGGTAAACTTGGAAATGTAATAAAACAATCTAGTCTTTTTATTCAACAAAGAGTAAAAGAAGAGAACAGACTTACTACAAATAGGGGACTCATCTGCACCGTTAGGGCAGTCAGGAGTGTTGTCACACACTATGGTGAGGTTGATGCAAACACTGTGGCCCGGGCACTGCCACTGCCAGCTTGGACATCTGAAAGGCGGCGTGGGACAGTCTCGTTCATCGCTCATATCCCTGCAGTCATTGTCCCCATCGCAAATCCAACTATGTAGCACGCAGTTGCCATTGTCGCAGCGGAAGAGTATGGAAGGGCAGGTGCGAGGTGGGCAGGCGTGGTGTTCATCGCTTCCGTCCTCACAGTCTGGATGACCATCACACTCCCAGGTAGAAGGGACACAGCTCCCGTCTGACTGGCACTGGAACTCACTCTCATGGTGGCACATCCCTGGAGGCCTGGTAGCTGAAATACATTTGGAAACACCATAACATACATTTTTGGTACAGGCCAAGGAATCAAAATTCAAACATTTCAGCAAATGTGCATATTTGTGCAAGATCGAATAATGTTTTAGGCTTATGACCTACGGCCAAACAAAGTGTTTACATGAAATACTTACGACAGTTTTGCTCATCTGAGCGATCGCTGCAATCAAAGACTCCATCACATCGGTAGTAGGAGTTGATACACTGGTGACCACTGGAGCACTTGAACTCATTCACAGTGCAGTTGTAGACTGAAAAATCCAGTTGAGTACGTTAATACTGATATTCCATATTTCTGCAGTTGTGCATGTATGCTGAGCTACAAGGTTGTGCAACACAGGTAATGAGATCAATGAACTAAGAGGCTTAGCAAATGCTTGTTGTTTTTTTTCAGAACATTCAATTGACCTCTACAAAATGTTTGCATGTTGAGCTAATAAAATCAACTTAGAAATAACTGAACACATTCAAGATTTATTTAACTGGGAAAGAGCAGATAAAACTCTGACCTACAACATGTCACAATGAGAGGATAGACTGAAGCAAGTTTATAGTTAGGTCATTGAAAAATCTACACGGTCATGAGATTTGATGAAAATAGATCTGATCAGCAATCTCAAGTCATTTCTATTAGTTATGTAAATACAAAAACGAATAAATAATAAAATAGATTTTGTCCACAAAACACTCAAAAGACAAATAAGGACCAAATAATGTCCAGGGAAAACTGTAATCTAAAAGGTACTCACTGCATCCCTGCTCATCTGCCCCATCCACACAGTCCCTGTCCCCATCACAGACAAAGCTGGGATCTATGCAGCGGTGGTCTGGACACTGGAACTGTCCAGGATAACAAGTGCTCCCAAGATCTGTCAACACAAATTATAGAATATCAGAATTAAAGTATAAACTTCTTCCTTAAAGCTAATTTCTCAGGCTTTCTTGGCCAATAAAATAACAACTGCACAGGTCTTAGTTTTCTTTACCAAAAACAAACTATGCTTCAGTAATAATCTGATTAATGTTACCATGTGACTATTAACCAGCTTTCATATCTATGTTTTTATAATTAAGGCCACATACATAGGCTCATCCATTAAACATTAAAGCCATTATAATGCATTTAAACTCATTCTTTAGACATTGCTTGTAGTTTGGCTCTTGAAATTAAGATCTGCCATAGTAATGAATGCGGGCTACTTGATGCCTTGCTACTGCCTAGTATGCATTAACAAAAGACAAACTATTGTATTAATTTTAAATTAAAAGCCTCAATCAGGATACTCACGACAGTCAGCTTCATCGGAACCGTCACCACAGTCATTATCAGTGTCACAACGCCAAGTATTTGGGATGCAGCGATGGTTGGTACAGGTGAACTGATTGGCAAGACATGTTCTAGGTATGTGTGTAGGGCAGTTGTTCTCATCACTGTTATCAAAACAGTCATTGTACCCATCACAGCGCCACCCAGCAGGCACACAGCGCTGATTGGCACATGTGAATGCAATGGGGGAGCAAGTGTTGTCTGAGAAAAAAGAGAGGATCTTGATTAGATATCATAAAACTGAACAGAATTTTTAAAAAAGACCCAGGACATGAAATTGGTTTATACTCTGGTCAGGTTGGACCAGTACAATTATCTGGATTTGCAAGAAAAGCATTACTGTTGATTCCGCAGTTGAGTTCGTCACTGTTGTCATGGCAGTCATCAACACCATCGCATCTGTAGCTGTTTGGGACACATTTGCCGTTGCCACAGGAGAAAGAGTTGGCTCCACACTGCAGTATTGGAGGCTCGCTAGAAGAGTCCTCAACACATGTCTGTTGATTGGGCGACAGCTTCATGCCATATGGGCAACCACACACCCGCAGAGAGTATGGGGCTGGGAAGCAGAAGTGGCTGCAGTCTCCATTAGGATTTGTCTGCCTGTTGCAGAAGTTGGAACCTGAGAAGGGGAGTAAAGGTTGATTACCAAGAGTAAGACTAACATGAATGACAGTGAGGATAGTAATTAATAAAGCTACTGACCAATCTGAGAGTTGGAGTTGAAAGATTTGACATGCATAATGTGGCTGATTCCTCTTCTGATAACGACCATCTCCCCACCATCGGTCTTGCGCACACGTACAATGCCACCCAGGCGCCAGTCGGTGAAATATGCATAGCCTTATTGGGACAGGAGCAATAAAAAGTCTTTTCATCTTTCATTAACTCCTTATAGCAGTAATTGCTCTTTTGACATGATTGATATGACAAAATTGAAAAACCACTGTTCGATGTTAATGGAGTGTGTGTGAGTGCACTGAATTCCTTCTTTATTTAGATCAAACACATTCTACTGGACTGGGACTTTACAGGTGACTTGTTGTATATACCAGGTTTATTACCTTCAAAAATGGTGAGACCAAATGGATGGGAGATCTGGGTAATGCGATCCAATGACAGTCTGTTTGTTCCATCAAAACTGCTGTGCTCTATCCTGTCAAAGAAGGCATCCACCCAGTACAGACGCGCTGAGCTGAGTGGAGATAATAGCAAAGAAACAAGAGGAGGATGAGAAATAACACACAGTAACACACATACTCAAATATAAGATTATTGTTTAAAAACAAAACAAAACTTTAATCTTAAGTGAAATCAAGGAGGTGACATGGTGTATTATGAGACTGTATGACTTCTGGCTCACCTCCAGTCGATAGCTAGGCCATTTGGCCAGCCAAGAGTGGTGTTTACAATAGACATGGCATGTGACCCGTCACCCCATGCCCTCATAATCTTCGCTGGCCGGTACCAGTCAGTCCAGAAAATATACCTTTTTTAAAAAATAAACAAGGATCAATAATCAATGTTATATTTCAATCAAAAAAGTTTTTACTTTAGATTTTTTCCAATTATGGAGCTTTTCTGTTTAAGCCAACTACAATACTGCCCTTCACTCTCAACTAATCTCAGCTGCTGGACACAGAGGTCTTTTGACTTTGAGGCAATCGGAAATAAGAGCTTGTTCTAAATAAGTTTTCTTTTTTTTATCAGGTGGTGGCTTATTTTGAGGACAGTTTATGAATTGGTGAGTATATCTTAAGGTGTGTGACCAGGTTTACTGTGCATGGTTGCTTTAGCATGGATTTCCCTCCCTATTCTTAATAACAAAGAAATATTCTAAAAATAATTTCACAAATTAAAGTGCAGAATATTCAGTACAGGTGTAAACCAGCTTAAAGCTCTTTTATTGGGGCAGTATAAAAGTATGATAATAATATTTCGCGATAATTAGAGTGCAAAATTAGAAGTGACCCTGCATTACCTACATAACCTCTTGAAGTAGAGGGTAAGCAAAATGTTAATATTTTACATTTGGGTACAACAATTCTAATGATCTTATACTGATTTACCCAAGAAGAGGATGCACCACGATGGCCCTGGGGTTGTTGAGGTTCTGTACGATGGCTCTCCTCGACTTATCAGCCAGCTTCATGACAGATATGCTCCGGTATCGCGGGTCAGTCCAGTAGAGGTTTTTTGAAATCCAGTCATAAGCCAGGTCCTCCACACCTTCCACTCTATTGGCTGCCAGTACCTCCCTGCCTGTGCATATCAGACCACAGTTTACCACAGAGATGAAAGAGGAACACATTTAAATAAATAGGCTGTCAGCTTTAATTTTCCCCATGTCAGACTGGACAGAAAAAACTAGAGCAGCTCCAAAAACAACATCACTGAGGGGCAGTGCTGTTTCTTTTTTTTGTACGGTGTGACTCCTCAGGGATTATCACATTAGTAACAACTTTGCACAGCTGAAGAGATTTTTTAGTTTATTAAATAAACATCAAAACTGCTTGGTAAAACACCCTTGTTTAGTCTTTACGCAGAAGATGAGTTTGACATTTTGGTTGATTGTATGATTCATTTTCATTGTCCATACTCGTGTCCATTCACTCCCCCATTGTACCAGTCGGCCCCATCAGGCACTCCCATAACTCCCTGTTTAAGCCTGACTGAATCACATGGTAGAGCTCTCTGCTCCAAAGATGTAAGCACAGAGAAAACACTGTAAACATTTTGCTGCTGAACTTTTTCTTTGTATTATTCTGCTATTGTTAACTGTAAGTCTGTTGTAGTTTAGCGATAGCGACATGATTCTCACCTGTCCCATTCACTTTCTGTTTGTAGATGATATCTTTGACTGTATCTGAGAAGAAGATGGCATCGTCTTCAGCACTAAAATCCACCCCAACAAAGTAGGAAGGTGATCCAGTGACGGGCAGGATGACGTCTTCCTGGGTGGAGAGGTTAAAGGGGATCCCTCTCACAGCGAGCTGACTGGAGAACAGCAGAAACTGCCTCACAGCTGAAAACAGGACATCAGCACACAAAACAGTAGCCATCAGTGATATGTTTCACCAAAACATCATAATAAACAAGTAAGAAAGGGTTAATTGACATGAAACTAATGTTGGTTGCTGTGTCGTTGAGTTATGTGTTTAGGAAGTTTGGAACAATTAGTGAAATAGTAATAGGAGAATTGTTCTTTTACCCAAACAACGCTTTCCATCAGCATGGAGGTCATAGCCCATGCGACATTTGCACCTGTAACCCAGTCCTCCATTGTCACTCCTGTGACTCAGAACACAGATCTGCTCACAACCACCTCTGTCTACACTGCAAGGGTTTGGCACTGGAGGCAAAACACAAAAAAACAGTAACTGGCACGAGATACTCATATAAGATGAATTAGGGTCTGTCATCTTCTTTAACGATAGTTATTTGCAACTCTATCTTTTGAAACAGCAGAAAATCTGGGTCAATTTACACTGACGTTCTGTAGAACTGTGAGAACTATGAGATATAGTATGTGAGCTGCATCAGGGCCACTTTGAAGAATGCACAAATGGCTCAGTGAGGGTCTTACCTTGAGGCTGTTTCAGCTGATGTATAACTGCTACTCCATGTGGAAACTGAGCGGTACTGTAAACCACCTGAGGACTGCTGTCGTTGAACTTGTTGGCTTTCATCACAGCCATCTTGGTCCAGTCCGTGAAAAAGACACTGTGCTCGAAGAGACTGATGCCATATGGGTGTGGGATTACAGCACCTCCATGGACCACTGTTTTTCTATTTAAAGAAATGATGATGGAATTGATTCATTCTGATATCAATGCTTTAATCTTTTTAATTATTGTGTTCTCTTTCTGGGATCACATATGATATTTACCTGTGGAGGCCGTCATATGTTGCTGTTTCGATGTAGTCATAGCGACTGTCAACCCAGTAGATGCGCTTGGCCTCGATGTCCAGTGTAAGACCAGCTGGCGAACCCAGTTTACTCCAAACGATCCCATAACGGTTTGTGCCGTCCATGAAAGCCCGCTCCAAGCCTGGCTGTCCATTCAGTGCCTCCCAATCTGAGAAGAACATGTACCTGTAAGGAGGGGAAATTGTTAGTCAGTGACAGTTGTCTTGCAATTATCTATCAGTTTA